TTACATACAAATTCGATTTAAGGACAGACCTTGGGAACGGAACTCATTCTTAAACTGGGGATTATCTGTAGTTGCACGTTGTGGATACAAAATGATGAGGTATCAGTCTACAAGCACTTGCAATGTATAGGTCAGATCTTATTTGAAGGACTGGGGCAAGTCCTTAACAATAATGCATGTTAATGCATTAGTGGACCCAATCTGAAAATAACCCAGATTATTTCTAGGCATCTATTGAGTGCTGAACTAATCTAATTAATGATTGTAAGAAGGAATGGTACTGGTATTAAAACAAAAAACAAAAAAAACCCTGCATGATACAGGTAGTACACTGTATATTCTATTATTTGAAAACTAGTGGCTGCAATATGGAGCCCCAAATACAGTGTCTCCAGGATTTCTCTGTCCATATATTTATAAGAAACTTATGTGTGACATATACAAGTAGAAGCTAGGCTAAATAATCTGTAGCATGCAGACAGCAAAAAGGTACTGTTGGTTTTCAAAGGGAAGGTATTTCTTATTAGCTCAAAACATGCCCTGACAAATAATGGGGAATAACATTAGCTTAACAGGCATTCAAATTCACAAGCAATGGGGAAGAATTAACTTCAGGTATTAATGTTTAAACAGATTAACACATTTATTTTACACACTCAAGCAAATAGCCATATGGAAACCAATTATTGTAATTATTTACATTTATAGAGGAGAAAGTGACTTCCTTAACATGCCCACTCCATAGTATTACAGTTATACTAGTATCTTACAATGGCTATGGGGAAGAAGAAAAGAGAAACATTTGTGAAATACAGCTTGGAAAGTGGCATTACAGAAATATTGGGTGGGATAGCTAAATGGATTAAGGCAAGCTCTGTTGCTGGTGGAGAAGTACAAGATGAGGAAACATTGCTAGATTTAAAGAGGAAACATAGAGAATTGTAAAGGTATGTGGGAATTACTTTGGGAGACAGGGGGAAGAGCCATAGCCAGGGCTGTGGATAAGAGGCAGCTGAGCCCGTAGTAGGAATGGAGGCATGGCAAATGTGTCAGAAGGGACCCTCCCTAGTTTCTTGGGCTATAAATGTGATGGGGGAGAAATGTACTTTTGGACTGGCAAGATTCTGCTAATATAACCTTGCAGAATTAGTCCATCTGGCCGTGCATCCTGTCGGGACTACCTCGCTAGCCTGACAGGAATAAAGTAAGGATGGGTTATTATTACCTTTTCAAATATGGTAATTTTGCTTTCAGGTTGTTCATGGAAAGTTGGAAAGATTTCCTGCATGGAGCTTCTAGAATCTAGAGCTTCTATATTCTAGAATCTTGAATATATAAGACTAGGTGCATGCCCCTTTGCTATTTATTTTAGCTTTGGAAGTATTGAATAGAGATATAAGGCAAGATGAGAAAATTGCTGGAGTGAAGATTAAAAGAGAAACTTATAAATTATGGGTATTTGCTGATGATAATCTTGGAAGATCCTCTGGAAGGAATAGAAATATTAATGGAAAAACTAAAGGACTTTGGGGTATTAGCT